GGTGCCTGGCACAATGCCCAGCTATTGTTTTTAGGGACAGAGTCTCACTTTGTCACCCTCAGTAGAGTGCTGTGGCATCACAGCTCACAGCAACCTCTAGCTCTTGGGCTTAGGTGATTCTCTTGCCTCAGCCTCCTGAGTAGCTGGGACTACAGGTGCCCACCACAACGCCTGGCTGTTTTTTTTGGTTGCAGTTTGGTTGGGGCTGGGTTTGAACCCACCATTCTCAGTATATGGGGCTGGCGCCCTACTCACTAAGCCACAGGTGCTGCCCAGTGCCCAGCTATTTTTCTGTTGCAGTTGTCATTGTTGATTAGCTGGCCCTGGCCAGGTTCAAACCTGCCACCTTTGGGTGCACTGTGCTATGGGTGCTGAGCCATGGATTCATATTTTTAAAATACTATTTTCTTTTTTTATTATTACTGGCTGAGCTTTGAGCATTGAATTGACATTCATCTTAAGTATTTATGGAGTACCTGCTAGCATAGAGGCCGTGTTATTAGAGGGAGCATCTCCAGCACCCCATTAAGAAAATTTAGTTGGTGAGATAGTGTGCTTAACCCACAGAGTAATGATGGGGCCAACTGAGTCCCGAGAAAGATGATGCATACATTCTCTGCGTGTTCGGAGTTGCTGGTGTTCAGGCACAGTGGGTCCTGGGGCTCGTGCCTCTGATGTGCTAGGGCAGTAGGCAGTGTGTGTCTTTGGAGTGGATGATGGAGGGAGACAGTGGCTTTTGCACACTGAGAGACACAGTGCCAGCTCAGAGGATATGTGCTACTGAGTGGCTCTCACGGGGGAGGGGTGGAACCAGGAGTCTTACAAGTTAGAACACAGAGAAAAGGCCATGCCTTTCATCCTCACGTGATCAGCCACATGTGACATTTTGGTCCCTGGTTGCACCTCTGGCTGACCAGAGCTGCTATAGTGGCCTGGGGAGGGTATAGCCAGGACAGTGTCCATCGAGCCCCCTGCCAGTGGCCTCTCCAAGTAGGGGCCATCGCTCTAGACTTTTGCTCTCTGCTGTGTGGGGTCACCTCTCCACTTAGTCACCTGCTGACTTCAGATAGCAGATGTCCCAGCCAATCACATTTCCTTCATTGCCAGGGGGAGGGTTTCTCCCCTGCTTGTCTGATTTCTGCCCTGGGCAATATGGAGGAGAGTGGCGGAGTCCCTGTCCCCGTCTGCTGAGAGCCCATCTGGAAGCAGCAAGTGCCTCAATTCCTTTTCTTTGATCCCTGTTCTGGTCCCATTTTTTTTTATCCTCTTAAGAGAAAGATGGCTGGGCAAGGTGGCTCACACCTGTAATCCTATCACTCTGGGAGGCTGAGGCAGGTGGATTGCCTGAGCTCAGCAGTTTGAGACCAGCCTGAGCAAGAGCAAGACTCAGTGTGTAACAAAAGAAAAAAAAAAAAGACTTTGAAACTAATGAAAACCTGAGCCTTGCCAGCCTACAAAATCTTAACCACGTATGGATGTAGTAGAAGCTAAGGCAGAGGTTAGTCATCTGTTAATTCTTCTAATTCAGGAGTTAGAAATTTATGTGATTTAGGAGGATCATGTGAGAAATGCTTTAGAAACACACAAATTTGGTGATTTCACTGCATACCACTGAGTTAAGAGCAATGGAAGAGAGGGGGTGCCTGGGAAGCTACAGTTTTTAAAGGTGTCCTGTCTGATTCTTAGCCTCGGACAAGCTTGGCAGATACTGCCCTGTCCTAAATATTTCCACCAGTGAGGCTGAGGGAGAAAGGGCTGGGAGAGAAGCAGCTGTCCCTTCTCTGGTC